CCATATGAATATTGTCAGTGAACCTTTTTAGGGGCGAAGCTCCTTATGGCGTGGATTGTGCGTCCCTCGTAGTACATAACCACTAGTGGCACATACCCGAAATAGCAGTCCTTACGATTTTGACCTCCAAGGTGGTTCCGGTGAGAGATTTTTTCTGTGCGTTGTTGAACAATAAAATATAGTGCTCAATTCACATGTTAATGGCTGCTAAGAGGGAATGAGAGACAGGAGCATTCGGCCTTTAGGTCACGCTTGCTGCGATCCCCATTAGCAGCTATTGGCATGTACATTGAGCACGATCTTACAAGAAAGGGTTGCTACGTTATACTCGCTGGGAGTAACCTCCTTGGTTTTAGGAAGGTTTAGCGAGCGTTGGGCCGCATAGCCATGAATACAGTGAACTAGTATATACCATGAACTTGAGGTGGTTAAAGGTGGGAAGTAAACCCGAAGTGCAAGCCGTAAGAAAGTGTGCATGTGCCACCTCCCGCTTAGTCCTTGAAATGTCCGCTGGACGGCGGTTTTTCTATATGGAGAATATATGATGAAAAGATGCGAGATGGTGGTACTTGGAGTGCTGAATAGATGGACGAACGGCCACACAGACAGATGCATGGATGGACGCATGAACGGACGCAGGCGCGGATGCATGGACGAACGCAGGGACGGACGCACGAACAGATGCACGCACGGAGGGTGGATGGACGCATGGACGGTTACACAGACGTACGCAGGAACGGACGGAAGCAAGAAAAAATGGACGGACGAATGCTTCGCCCCACTCCCCATCATTCACTCCGTGGATATGCTGCCATTTGTTTCCTTCATTTTCGATTTAGGGTTTCTTTTACAGCCATTGACGAAAATTACCACCTGTTCCGAGGGTTTGCCTTCGTGGCTCTCGATGACCCGTGGTGAGACTACCTTTTATTGAGTGCAGGTGCGCGTGTGCTGGCGTATAGCTTGTTATCCCACTTTTCTCTAAGTTACCTATACTCCCCTTTGCACACCCCTCGCCTCCCCTCGGTCTGGGCAAGCTATCAAACCAGCCACAGCATTGTGTATTGTTCCCTACTGTTTTTCATGTATTTTTCTCCTGGCGAAAGTTGGTGTCTTTCGCCGCCGACAACCAACTTTTCTTGCTAAATGACGGCAGTCCAACGTTCCTACGTGGTTCAAGGTATAGCAGCTGCCTTGACCTGGCCTTTGTCTCGGGAGGTCTCGTCAGGCATGCTGAGTGGTTTCCAGACATAGAAACGCATGGAAGTGACCACATTCCCACTTACGTCAAAATCGAAGGATTGTCCCATGCTAGGATACGTGGTAGTGTTCAGAGAGTGGACTGGTTGAAATTTAAGTCTCGCATGGAAGAGCATTGTGAAGCAAACAGATGCCTCAACATAAAGGAGATAATTAAAAGCACAAGAGACGACACTACGTGTACCCTCACCTGCTCTTCCAAAGTAATGGAATTTGACATCGAGCTAAAACGACTTCGAGCAAATCGACGACGTGCTGAACGAAGATACCGACGCACGGAGGCAATAGAAGACTTCCGAGTTGCTCGACGTATACAAAAGAGATTGGGCTCCGGATAAATCAACTCGAGTCACGAAGTTGGGCTGCTTTTTGTGAGTCGCTTGACCCACGAAAAAATTTATCCCTATTGTGGAAGATGGTACGACGTCTCCGCACAAAACCCACTCAGTGTTAACCATTCAGAGCTCTCGCACTTGCTGAACAGAAACGCGGCATTGACGTGGCAGAAGACTTCTGTGCCAGAGTATCTGGGTCACTTGCAGTGCCCAATAGCCTATTGCCCTCGACCAAATGTCCACAAACACTGGGTTCCCGCATGAATAAGCCTTTTTCCATCGTTGAGCTCAGAGCAGCACTAGCTTTGTGTGGACGCACGTCGGCACCAGGCCAGATAGAATTTCTTAGAGGGCCCTGTGTCATCTGGGTGAACGCGCACGAATCCTCCTCCTGGAGTTGTACAGCAAATCCTCGCAAGATGGAATGGTCCCGACAAGCTGGACGACAAGTCGCCTAGTTCCACTTCTGAAGCCAGGCAAGTCACCATTGGAGCTCTCATCTTATCGCCCGATCACATTGGCCAGTTGCGTAGGCAAAGTTATCGAGAGGGTGGTCTTGGGACGCCTGGAGTGGTACTTGGAGTGTAACAACATCTACCAAGATGCCATGGCAGGATTTCAGTGCGGTCGATCATCGATTGACAACGTAGTCGATTTGGTCACTTACGTCCAACACGAGAAAGGCCGTAAGCGTCTTTGCGCAACTTTGTTCCTAGACGTCAAAGGGGCGTATGACAACGCTACGCATGAAGCTGTTCTCACCACTTTCGAAGATGTAGGAGTAGGTGGTCGGGTGTATAGCTGGATACGTAGTTATTTATCAATGCGATCCTTCTTTGTGAGCACTGAAGATGACCAAACTTCTCCACATTACAGCCACCGTGGCGTTCCCCAGGGTTGCGTACTCAGCCCTGTGCTGTTCAATCTCACGTTATTTGCTCTCACTGAGCATCTGCCAGGCACAGTCAGGCTATCAATGTACGCAAATGAGGAGGAGGAGGATTGAAAGAGGAAGGACAGGGAGGTTAGCCAGATGATATCTGCGTTGGGCATCGGCTGTAACACGCCTGCAGTTACGAGGGAAAATTCAAAAAGCTGCCACTGAAACATTACGTTACCTCCGCAATCGAGGCTTGGAAATTTCTTCCGAGAAATGTGCCCTCGTAGCTTTTACACGAAAGCCTATGCATAAGTACACTATAAGCATCAATGGTCTAACTGTACCATACGTTCGATCACACAAGTTTTTGGGCGTCATAATTGACAGGAATCTATCATGGAGCGATCACGTTTCGTACACGAAGAAACGGTTAATGGACATCTGTAATATATTGAAGTTCTTTGCAGGGACGACTTGGGGAATGTCTCCCAGTGCAATGCTACAGCTGTACAGGGTACTTTTTCTCGGTTTCCTGCGGTACAGCTTACCGGCATTGACCAATGCAAGCAAAACAAGCCTTCGAACGCTACAGAGTGTTCAGTCCAGGCACTGCGGATTTGCCTCGGCTTGCCTCGTAGTGCGTCGACAATGGCTACTATAGCAATCGCCGGTGACCACCTCATCACGACACATATCGACGTTGAGGCACTCAGGACACATATAAGGCATATTGCTCGGACACTCTGCTACCACCTAGCCTTTTTACCAACAGACAGACCACGTTCGTCATTTTACCAAACGGTAACCACATATCGCGATTCTTTGCCAACATGCTTCACACCCGCCGCCAGGCTTTCGACTCCTCCTTGGTGCCTGACTCAGGCTAACATCAGGCTAACTATACCTGGCATCCAGAAAAAAGCAGATATGTCATCACCTGCTCTTAGGCAGCTTGCTTTTGTTATACGAGACGTATCAAGGCTGTATACACGTATACACCGACGGCTCTGTTTTACAGAAGAGTTCAACGGCTTCATTTGTTATACCGATAAAAAGACACGACCAGAAAATTCAAGACATCCCACCTTACAACATCAACCGGAGCAGAGCTCACAGCTCTTCGTGCCGCATTGCAATTCATCAGCGATCAACAGCCACAAAAATGGAAAATTTTCAGTGACTCAAAGGTGGCACTGCAATTCCTTCTATCCCCTTTACACCACGGCCCGTACGAACAGCTGGTATTCGAGATTGCAGAAAAGACTCACGAATTAATTGAGAAAGGACATAAAATAGCCTTGAAATGGCTTCCAGGCCATTGTGGAATAATTGGCAATGAACGGGCCGATCGAGCTGCCCGTTCTGCCCATACTGAAAGCGATCAAATATCAATTCCGCTTTCCAGAACTGACGCTGCGCGGAAACTCCACATGCTTGCTCGCAAGCGCACCACGTCACAATGGAACGCGCCACATTTCATACATGCACGGTTATGTACCTTAGACACAACTCTGTCTTCGAATTCCTCCGGAATTACGCCGACGAGACGCTACTATGCTGTGCAGATTATGGTTGGTGGTCGCATTTACCAATGCGTACGCGTTCCGCATAGGAATGGCTGACACTGCTGCATGCGACCATTGTGGCAGTGACGAAACAACCTGGCACATTCTGTGTGAATGCCCACAATACTGCTCGCAGAGACAGTCACTCTGCAATGCACTAGATGAACTGGACAACCAGCCTCTTTCTGAAGAACGAATCCTGCGCTACCGACAGGACTTTATGTCGCAGAAGAAGGCTGTGAAGGCGCTCCTGCACTTCTTGCGTTCAACCGGCTTGTCCAAACGACTGTGATCGGAACTCCCTGAATGTGTGCGCATGGGATTTTTTTCATTTATAATTTTATATCTCTCTATCTCTATCCTCTTTCCGTCCCTTTTCCCCACCCCCATACAGGGTAGCAAACCAGTTCTTCTAGGTTAACCTTCCCTGTCTCTTCCTTTTATTTCTTTCTCTCTCTCTTTCTCCGTAATAGAGGGTCTAATACACCGCACGAACCAAAGAGTACTTAGGTGCTGGAGGTTATTGGTTTACATCATATTTTTGGGCTACACAATGAATGATTATGGCATAGCGAGTACCACAATATATCACACACCCTATTATATAAAATAAATTTATCCTTCACAGTTACTTAGAAAATCAAGCTAGATAGGCAGTCAAAAATACGCAATCTCAATGGTAGCAAATATGTCAGCAGTCTAATATAACTGGCTACCAGTTATTCCTCCATCAATTCGTCCTGGTACCACTGCGACTGTTTAAAATGCACCGGCGAAGATAAAACTTCAGACTTTACAAATTCTTTCTCCTACAAAATTTCGTATAGCACCAGTTGTCGAAGTGGGGCAGCATTTACGTCATCATCAGCGTTCGCCTGCGTTGATCGGTGTGGGAAGGATCGAGTCATCTAAAAAGAATGCTTATTCAAAAAGTTTTAGTGCAGCTCTGCATAACCTCACCTTGAGCTTTCGAGATCCTCCTTTGGACCCACTCCGGACAACAGCAGGATCTGGGCACTTCCTATCGTTCCCGCCGAAAGGATCACCTCTCGTCCAGCAGACACGTTCTGCGACTGTCCGAATCTTGTGACCGTCACTCCAAGAGCGCGACTTCTCTGGAAGTTCACCTTTGGCAAAAGAGATCAGGCGACAGCAGCTTGTTGCTTCGATGTTGCACATTGTGCTCCAGCTAAAATATTCTCCGTTGATACGAAATAGTAAGATTTTTCTTCTTTTTTTCTTTTTCACGGTATATGTTTGGGCTGGTTGACTCGGACTATCGAGAATAAGAACAGGGGGGAAAGGAAGAGAATGAAAAAGGACGCAGGCCGCAGTGCCTTGGTCTGTGTCCTTTCATCGAACTATCGTTTTACAGCTGTGTCTCTACTCGCAAGGTTCCTCTTTAACGGGAGGACTGCTACACCCAGCGTCTGTCTGGCTTGCGATGTAAACAAGAAACAATTATCGGCATGCTGATAGCGGCCACGGGCAGCCCAGCTTATACGAGCCAGCTTCAATCCTATCAGGTACCAAGCCTGAACGAAGTGCGGAACTCAGGCAGCCTTCTTTGTTTATCTCTTAAACTTCCTCTTGTTTTCCTCCTCTCTTTCTTCTTGTCTTTTCGAAGATTTTTGTTTCTGTTCTTCCTATTATCTCTTTCCTTCTTTCTTCCAATTTGTTTCTTTACTTCTTTCTCCCCCTTTCTATTTCTTGCTTGCTTTCTCTTTAAATTTTTATGTGTCCGTCGCGTTGTATTTTTGTCCACGTTGCAGTAATGTCGTCGAAACCCGTAAAGTGGGTAATTCATATTATTTAAAATTTCTTGTGGTAAGGAGTACGTCATTCAGTTAAACAAAATGCGTGAATGATCAGCTTAAGAAACGCCACGCATCTTCAAAGGTGTCAAGCAGCCGTCATTTCAATTGTTGCTTACTGTAAAATATGCGGATCATCATGTTAAAAAAAACCAAATATGTTTTTTTGTGACATCAGGCATCAGGTAGTAGGGTGCGAAATAGAATCGTACCACAACCTGAAGGGGTAACGTGGCTGTGCTTATCAAGCCGCAGTAGTGCTGCACGATAAGGAGCACGTGTATACAGGTGCGTGGGGCCTGTAATATGTAATAAATGGCAAGTACCGTGGCAAATTATTGGGGTAATCCCGATATGATTGCTTTTATTTTGTGCCCTGCTCTGTAACACATGCGCGAGGAATCATCCGCCCGCTTAATACACTTCTGTTTAGTAATCAACGAAGCTTCACTTGTCAATGTAAGCGCTGTCCTCATAATATTATCTGGTATTTTACGCCCCAAAACCATGATACGATTATGACAAATGCCGTAGTCGAAGACTCGGGAAATCTCGACCACCTGGTGTTCCTTAATGTGCACTGACATCACACAGCACATGGTCCTCTACAATTTCGCCTTCATTGAAATGTGACTACCGCGACAGGGATCGAACCCGCAACCTTTGAGTCAGCAGCCCAGCACCGTACCTACTTCTCCACCACGGCTTACGTAAGCGTTGTGCTGTATACTTCTTTTTGTCGCTCTGCTGCGGTGCGCTTCAATTAAATTTTCAAAGATGAACGTCAACCAACTGGCCCCACTAGGGAGTCTTCTTACTTCTCAGTGGTGGCCAACTCGTTAAATGTGACGCTTCATTGAATCAAGTACGGAAGTGTAACCGCCAAATGAGTATTCCGAACTAAAAAGGGAAAGCGCTAAAGCTTTCCCTTCCCTTCCTGCCACGCTGTGTTGCATTCCTGCACAACCTCGCTTGAATTAGGCAGAACTTCAGGGGAAGGTTGAAAGTTGAAAAATGAAAAATCCTTGAACACGGAATGTCACACGAGTCGACGCTCGAGAAGCGGCCTTATCTCCTCCAAGCACAGAAGTTCAATACGTCTCCTTAGAGCATTGCTTCCTTAAAGTATTGTCTCTCTCAAGCAATATGACTCCGTCAGGCTTTGCGCAAAGGGGCGCTATACTATGCGCGCAGATAATTTCGGCTCCCGCTTGCATGTGAGACGTACCTTTGTTACCTGGCTGATGAGAGCCACGTCAAGGTTTTTTCTTGCCCTAATTACGGAATGTATGAACGCCTTGCTTGAGCTGAATCGTTCGCCATTCTTTGTGTTTGTCTGCACGCGTGAGCAGCCTGCATGAAGAAGCGTTTGCGTAAGTCAAAAACAGGTGAACAAAAGCCGTCGAACCGTCGTGTCGGCATTCGATGTGAAATGAAGCAGGCTGTAATACCAATGCCTGCTGCGTACATCTTTTGTCACTTTACATCAAAGCTGTGCATCTTGGCTCTGCAGTGGTTTCACATCCGATGGCAAAGCGAAAGATTACAAAGGCCCTATGAGCTACCACATCAGCCGTTTATAATTAGTTAAAATATTGCGTAGGAATGCCTCTCCCAAAATATTAAAAAAATCAAGCGGCAATATGACTTCAAAGAATTCAAATGTACCGGCAGCTCGGCTTAGCGTTAGCGGCTTTCCTGTTTTCATAATTGTGGCTATCACTGAAAAAAATTGCTCCATAACATGTCTTCATCAAGCAAAAAAGGAGAACCCGAAAAACAGCTGTAACAACCCGGGTTTATCCCCTACATCAGCAAAATATGGCATAGATCGAAGGAGATCGCCAACAAGCACGACGGCCCAGCTTTTCATTTTCACGACCGAAAAATTTGCAGCGGTTGTGTAAAAGTAGGTAGTACCACACAAAAAACGCAAGAAGAAAATACATGTAAATTAGGCCAGACACCAAGCTTCGTTCTGTGTGATGTAGCAGTTGTGTACAGTTTGTCATGAACGTGCGGAAGGAAACATATCGGGAAGACCTCAAGATGTGGTAACATTACGTTTAAAGAACACAGGTGTAATTGTCAACAGATTACCGTCCAAGGGATCCCAGCTACCCACTGTAATCAATGCTTATGCGTACCCCAGTTCAGAAAAGCAACAATTATGAAGCTTATAAAAGACAACAGAGAGAGAATGATTTATGATATGGCGTTCGTTGCATCTCTTTGTGCCGAAACATGCGTCAGTGGGCCATCGATAGATCTAAATCCTGCTGAAATCGATTTGTTATTGACATCACATAGGCAGGGTCAAGTGCACTATCTCTTTATCTCTTTCAACGTTATTATCTCTTTCAACGTGCTTTTTGAGCTCTTAGATATGTATCGGCTTATATCGACTGCGCATGAATGATAAAAGCAAACGGCATTATCGCTCCTTCTGTTAAAACTGGGTCCCATGTTCTTTTTTGTCTGTCCTTCTTTGCGTCTGCCTACCGTGATCCCATTGCCAAACCTACTGAACTTGCCGATTACGAGCTGTTGGCTATGGAAACATACGGCATGTATATTTTGCACTTGTATTTAATTCCACTGAAACTAATGTGCAGGGTATCCTTGTCCTTACAGCATGCTGCCCGAGAACCCACCGAACTGCGAAGGTCCGTTGTAATCGACGTAGCCGTAACCAGACTGGTTGCATGCTTCCAGATAAACGTTGCTCAGTGGTGTGCTTGTGTTGGCGTAGTCGACGGGGACCTCCCCGCCAGTGCCGTGGTAATCTGCACCAATTGCAAAACGTAAGCACGTTTGTTTCTTTACAGTCATGCTTAGTTATCGTTGTTTTCACGTAGACAATCTGCTCTTTATTCTTCATTGAGCTAACGTGTGAGGCATTTGCATACAGTTTTGACTTCACAAAAACCTGCAGGATCTGCTCGGAAAGCGTTCTTGCTGAGGATCATGTCTACGGGCACTCGATCCTTCATAACTTGTATATGAAAGAACCCTTTAGAACACTGTGCTCACCATACTAATGAAGAAACCGCCTCAACCAAACTCTGGCTTCAAACCTTATGAGCTGCACGTTTAGATCAAGTGTGTAACAGTTTTCAGTACTTAGTACTTGGCCACAGGAGAGCAGTGAGCTGTCCCTGTGTGTTTAGGAAAATTTATTGTCAGAAACGTCGATAAAATTCATCAGAACATTTTCTTCTTAGACATACAATAACAATGACGACAAAATAGACGTCATTTACATGAACATGGATATGAGATGACGTTGAAAGAACACGTACATTCAGTGGTTTACACAAATATAGCCTCATAAAAAAGTCCGTGTTTAGAAAAACATTATTGTCACAAACGTCAATAACACTCAAACGAACATTTCCTTCTCAGACATACTCTAACGGTGATGACAAAACAGACGTCATTTACATGAACATGGATATGAGATGACGTTGAAAGAACATGTACATTCGATGGTTCACACAAACACAACCACAAAAAATATTTCAGTGTAAACAAGAGACGCAAATAAAACAAGAATATGTACATTTTGCATATTTACATGTTGGCATGCCATTTATGTGGGCGCATCGACACATCATCCTACCAATACCAGGCCGGGCGAAAGACAAGTTTCACTCGTCCGTCACAGACCGACACAAAAGGGCAAGACCAGTGCCGAGGAAATTCTTTTTCACCGAGAAAGAAGAGCTCCTCCGACAAAACAGACAGCAGCTCCGAGTACAATCGTTCTAGGATCGGGTAGAGCGCGCGGCGGCGGCGGCCCGCCGCAACCACCTCGCTGCGGTTGCGCCAGAGGCAGAAAGAGCCGGCAACAATGAGAAGACAAGCGAAGCGGCCTCGCGAATAACGCCCAGAAGAAACGAAGCCATTTACTCTAAGGCAGCGAAATCCGGCAAGTACGGCTCTCCAAAAAACGCGAGCAATGACACAATGCTTCAGAAAATGCTGATTTGTTTCCCGAAGGGAGCAGTTCGGACATGTTACTGACTGGACCATTCTCCACCTTTCGAGGTGGTCGAGAGTGGGAAGCACACCCTATCCCAGGTGCCACATGATCACATAATGTCCCGGAGGTGTCCAGGCAGAAAAGAAGCCGTTAACGTGCTCCAAGACACCCGTCTAGAGCGAGCACTGGCGGACTGGGGGGACCAACGGAAGCAACAAAGCAGCAGTTGTCTCAACTATTTGGTTGTTCAAAACACCTATGCCAGGACAGCTCGACTTGACATGGCGAAAAAATGCAACACTTGTTGCATAAAACGCGGGGAGTGTTATTGACTGCGGCCCCCTGTTAAGTTGCACATTAGGCATCAAATGCCGAAGGTAAGTACCCAGGAAGTAATATGCAAGCGTTCGTGCGGGAGAATTCTCCCCTTGCACTATAGGCGCAAAAGGAAGCGCAGTGCCAGCAGCCGACAGCGTATGGACACTGAAGGGAAAGCAAAGCCTCCTTGAGAACGCTGATGTCCCAGTGCCGCACGAGAGACCAACTCAGTGCCGCCAGACAAAACACACACACACACACACACACACAAAACAGACTGCAGTGATCGCACGATGGTAAAGATGGTTTCACGACACGTAAACATGGTTGCACGACGTGAGAAAGGTCCCAAAAGCGACCGCAAAATACAATCTGCGCAAGGTACCTCCGCTCAAGAAGCGGGAAGTCAAAATCCCGCGCATCCTGAACTTTCAGTCTTACTTCTTCGAAAGCGTTTAACCAAACGGATTCGCAAATGTCAGAGTGGTTGTATAAAATACCTAAAATACGAAGGGACACTGTCGGCTGAATAGGAAAACCGGCGCTAAGCCTGTAGAGTTTGGAGAGCAAATGAAGAAATACCGGGATTTGGACATGTTCAACGCTGCACCTGAAATGTCGCCATACTGGGAAAATACACGCAGGCTGCGTGAAAGGCCGAACGCCGCGCTTTGTGTATAAACGGCGAGCCTTTAACACATACCATGCACTAGTGTTTACATTATCCCATAAAAAGTACTTACGGCTCAAACGTCAACCAGCTAGCTTACTGCCTTTCGAAAGCATGCTGTTCGAAAGGCACTCCCACCGCGGTTTTCTGGAAGTGATTCTTAGAAGAGTGAAAAGAAGAAAAAGTGAGCCCCGTAACTGTCTGCATCACAGTGTGACACCTCAACAGTAGCTCACGAAAGATGGTGGTAAGGTGGAATTATAGGGATAGGATTAAAGCTATAGAGATAGAGGTTCAGGGGCAGAGAGACCAAATATGAAAGTAAAGAGTAGATAGGAAAGAAGAACACGGTCGCAGGAGTCGGACGACGGGGCACCACTCAGCGAGAGCTCTTTTCGGCGTCAGGGGGTGGCCTAGGGCGAGCCAGTCGGCCAGAGCTGCGCTGTCGTCGGAGATCGCGGGGCACAACCAGTCGGCACAAAATTCAGCGATCGGGTCCCGGTTTTCTGGGAAGAGCTTGCATGTTAAGTGTCAGCATTTGATTTGCTCGGGCTGTCGCATGCTGTCGTCGCCTGCGTTCATCGCCTCATGTCGTTGCTTGTGACGCTTGAAAAACCATGTATATCAAGCAGTCTATACTAAGGTATCTAAAAGGGAGAGGGGGATGAAAGGGAAGTGAATAATAGTATCTGGAGTTTTATGTTCCAAAACTACATGATTATTATAGATGCCGCATAGAAAGGCTCCGAAAATCCTGACCATCTGGTGTTCTCTGACAAGCACTGGAAAGGGAAGTGAAACTAATGAGGCTTGGAAGGAGGAAGGGAAGGAAAAAATCATCGCATGAAGCCAAGTATAACTTGATGCGAGCAAAAACCAAGTATAGACTTATATGTATAGCACAGTGAAGCGAGGGGGTTGGACAGGAAAATGAGGGTGAAGATTGATTGAGGGTGAGGAGAAGGAAGAGTGTATTATATAAACATTTGTAGTGTATCATAGCCATGCGAAGTGCAGTACTTGAACAAGTTGAAGAGAAGTGTGAGGGTTAGGGATTGTGAGAGTTAAAGTGAGGAATAGATATAGCATAGCATAACCATGCACAGTGCAGCACAACAAAGGGCTGGTAAAGAAGTCAGGGTGAGGAGGATAAAAATGAGGGTGAAAAAACGGTGGGCAGCACATGAAAATGTCGCGTATAGCATATATATAGCAAGTTATGAAAAAAAATCACAGCCTATCCACGGAGTGAATGATGATGAGTGGGGCGAAGCGTCCGTCAGTCTGATCGTGCTTCCGTCCGTCCTTTCGTTCTTGCTTCCATCCGTCCGTGCGCTCGTCCGTCCGTCCGTGCTTTCCTCCATGCTTTCGTCCGTGCGTCCATGCATCCATCCATCCGTCCTTCTATCCGAGCATTCGTGTATGCGTGCGTCTATTCATCCGTCCATCCATCATTATCATCGTCCGTGCGTCCATATACCTGTCTGTTCATCCTTCCGCCTGCCCATTAGTCTGTCTGTCCGGCTGTCTGTATGTCTGTCCATTCGTCCGTTCATCTAGCAAGCACTCCAAGTTCCGCCATCTCGCATCTTTTCATCATATATTCATCATATACAAGTACCGCCATCCAGCGGACATTCCAAGAACTAAAGAGGTGGCTACCTACTACTACTGCCACCACCACCACCACTACTACTACATAGATCGACGTCGCACGACTCACGGCTCAAGGAACTTTGCCCCTAATGTGAGTCTAAGGAGGTGAGTAATGGGGAGTGGAAAAGTAAAGCATGGCATAGAGGAGAAGTAGGAAGAAGTTGGATAGTGTTGTTATGGAAGTAAGAAAAGAGAAGACGCAGGAATGGAGGACAGGAGAGGGTGCCCCAGCATCTCAAATGACGGTTGAACGTTTTGGGACGCCAATGTGCGCCACTCTGGAACGCTAGCATCGCCGAAGAACAAGCGGCTGGCTGCTTTGCAGTTCTACAGCTTTTACGATGAGTGCCACTCCATATTTTTTTTCTTCTGACAATAGCCTATTGCAGAAATTGATGAAGTAAGAAAGCTTGCATTTGCTACATCCCCAAAAACATTATGGGGACCAGTAGGGTGACCTGTAATGATTATTAACTTCTTAGCGTCGTGCGAATGAAAGAAAGAAACGTATTTGAACTGCTTGCTTTTGCGCACTTGATCAAGGACATTTCATTCAGACTTTCATGCCCACCACCTTTGCTGTGTAGGCTTACGCAGGACGGAAAACGGTCTACACCATACCCACGACGGTGAACGCTACTACACCACAGAGGTGCTTAGAGTCACATATATTTCTGTATACTATTTTTGCTAAAATTACAAGGTTAATTACCTCCGAGTGGTCCCACGCGATAGTCCTCGATATCTTTGAAGTGTGGCAGCACGTCCTCGTATGCCCAGCCCTTGGCTCCGTACTTCCGAGCCCAGCGGCTGTAGTCGAGCCTGTCGCCTCGCACGTACAACATGTAGTTCAGCACGCTGGAGCCGCCCAGCACTTTGCCTCTTGGTAAGGGGCATCGCTGTGCGTGTATGGGCAGAACAAAGTTCATCGTAAATCCAGATTATATTGCAAAGAATATTCTATCTCAAGCTCAATCGGGAAATAGGACGAAACCAACAAACATATCATAATAATTAAATAGGCAAGTCATTTTCAAAAAACTTGATATAATCAATACAATAATCTCGCGACATAGTGGCATATTACCTCACGACGAACGAGAAATTGCTTTGCGGACAGTATGAATGAAACGTAGTAATAATAAACGCGTAAATCAAACAGAGTTCTGGCACCTAAATTAGTTGGGGCTTGTTCCAATTAAATGATATAGCAGCGATATGAATAGTTTTAACATAGAACGAAGGCAGCCTTACCGTCCTATATGGACAGGTTACGAAGACGGGTGACAAGCGCATTATGATTGTTTGGAGTAAAAGCTTCGTGTCAAGGACATACACTCACAATTATTCCAAATACACAAATTAATCTTAGCTTTCTTTTCCCCTTGTAACAAACTGACAAACACTAGTTCTGGGGAATCGGCCAATGGGAAAGAACACCCAGTTGCTGAAACGCAGTTTCCAGACAAGCGAAAAAATTAACCATAAGATTGCACAGCTCCTCTGCTCTTGAGAAGGTGGTCTCAACAGAACAAGAAAGCAGTGGCCTAGCAGGCCCTCAGGTTAAGGTGTTCTGTGGTACCAGAGCTAAACAGCAGTTTGTTCATCCGAGTTTGTCACGAGAGTGAGCTTGTATGAGGTTGCGTAAGCCTTACTATACGAAGGAGGACTTTTCACATTCGTCATATAGTGCATGTTTGTAAAGTGCACTGCAATGTGTACAGTGTTGCACATGCTCAAATATAGATACTGCGCAACTACTTCTGACATGGCAGCGTTGCGTAATGGTTGTATTGTATATTTCGTGCAGTATGAATTTCGTAGAATAAGTATGTATATGTCAATGGAGTACGATCTAAACGAAATCATGGCGGTGAATAAATCCACTGAGCTTTCCTAACATGTTCATGGAAGGAGAGACACGCGTTTTTCTGCGGCACAGTCGAGTACGCCCAATCGTCGTGGCCTCCCACGTTGTATGCAGCGATGACTGGTATCTGCCTAGAAGCCGTCTCTAGTCCGCCCGCTTCCAGGAGAAGCACAGTGACGTCAGGGTTTGCAGACAGCCGGTTGGCGATCACGGAGCCCGCAGACCCACCTACCAACTGCATGGAAGAAAACGCGTTGATTGCCCCAGTGAGGTCCTTACATTAAGACATTACAATTTTAAGCGGATTCCATTGAATATATGAGTATGAGGACAAAAATAGCGTGAGGAGGCATAAAAATTTCAGTTCGCACTTTCCCCAGGCCTTCCCCATGGTTAACAACAGAACGCCTCATTTCACAGAAATGCAAGACTTTCAGTAAATGAAAAAGTGAGAAGCTGATCTTGATTGACACATGCCTTTAGAGCGATAACTCACCTCCTCCAACTACAAGCTTAGAAAATGCCTCATTGCATGATTGTGACTTTCAAGGCCACGCAAGGTCAATGCTAGCAACGATACCTTCAGCGAGACGCATGTACGACGTCATAACATGGGATTGATTGATTGATAGATATGTGGAGTTTAACGCAGCAAGACCACCAAATGATTGTCTGAGCACACTGGCCTACAGCAATTTCGCCACCATCGAAAATGCAGCCGTCGCAGCCGGGATTCAATGCCGTGACCTGCGGGTCAGCAGCTGAGTACCTTAGCCACTAGACCACCACGGCGGCGCGACACCACAAAGTTCCATATTACAGTATGGAGCTCCTTAAGACGCACCTCGAGCACAGTGCGCGGATGCTTTTCAATTTCACTCTAAACGTAAAGCTTCCGTGAAGTTGAAAGACGCATGATTTAGCTAGATTAGCATTGTAGCGCCCTAGCCAGTATACGCGGTATCACGAAGGGTGACTGTTATACTTCACCAATTATGTAGTCATATTGCTCCTTTAATGTGCCCAGCTCGTAGTCCTGGAGCAACGGTAGGTCCGAGAAAGGTACGTGGATAATCAGGTTCATCATTGCCAGCAGTAGGCCCACGAAGTTCTGGGGCGCAGCTCCGCGGCCCCACAGGGCAAACGTCATTGCATCCAGGGCACCACTCATGTTGAAAAGCTTGGAATCTGCCGCGATACTGTCTGGATTCCACTGTGCTACGGGTCCTTAAACCATTCCGGTGGTGAATAAAGGAACGAAATAGTTTAGTCTGAAAAAAAAATATGTAACGAGGTCAGAGTAGCAGGCATAATTCCACAGATGCCACACTGTCAGCCTCCCAAGTGGCAGCTGACCTGACCTGCCACTTATTCCAGCTGGCTAGCTTAGCTAAGCTAACGTTGTGCATGCAAATATATATATATATATATATATATATATATATATATATATATATATAAATATATATATATATATATATATATATATATAATCAGTATGCAGAACGTCCAATTAGACAGTTTTGAATTGTATATCTGTTAAGTATTTGTGTGATTGTGCTAATTACAAACGCCTGCGAAATACAAGAGGTACCACGTGACATACCCACTCGTGCACAGTGATATGTGCTCCCTAGCGTTTAGCGTACGACAACCATAGCATTTGCCCCATTTTGCTGTCTCGGCAGGGCAGAAATGATGATGGTGGTGGCTTGGCGATGAACACGTTTTTCTTTCAACCAGGAAAACGATAACCGCTGTGACTGCCTATCGCTGTCATGAACCGGTGCGCGGAACGCTAAGGAGCACTAGAATCATGGTGCGCACTAGCGCGCGAGCGGGTTCGCCGCGTCACAAAACCTACCCCCGTATTCACAAACGCTCCTCGACTCGACTTTCACCCTTCACTTGACAGAGTTGAGCACTGCGACACAGCTCGGCTCAAAAATGACCCTGTGCTACTCAAGAATCGTAGCAGATTGTCGCTGATATGCAGTGACTTGCCGTGTCTACAGACGGCGCTCCCATCGGCTTTCTCAAGTGAAGGTGAAGCGTTGAGTGAAGGGACGCTCTAGAATACCGGGGTTAGTTTGACATAAAAACTACCCCCGTAGTCAAAAACGCTCCTTCACTCAAGAACTACCCTCGACTTGACGAAGTCAAGGCGGAGCGTGCTCCTCTACTCAAGAAGCCGCTGCGTTTCATGAACGCTCCTCCACACTTTCTTCGCCAAGGGAGGCCTTGGAAATGCTACCTTCACTTGAGTGAACAGCATGGGCCGAAAAAAGCGCCTGATAACGAGAGTATTCGTAATTGTGGTTAAGAAATGCCTATCTCTGTACAATAAATGAACGCTTTCCTTAATTATTCTTCTTTATAAATTGACATTACAGCGAAATGCGTGCATTTAGAGTGGTAGCGTAATTTCCATAAGCCTTGAGTCGGTAGAGTTAGCAAAACTCCTGCTTCAAGTCTGAAACAGCTACACCAGACAGTGCAACGAACAGCTGATGACGTTTCGTCTGATGCTGAGCGTTTCTACGTGCTTCGTTTATTTCGTCTCGTATGCATCTGCTGATAGCAGTTTATATTTACGGTAGTGACTGCGTTTGTGCTGTATCAGATCCTACTTTACCGTTGGTGTGTATACTCACGAACTACGCGAGTGATGACAGTGAGCACAACAGACGGTTTGTTGCTCTGTTTACTTTCGCTTTGCCGAGAGCCTTCTGATCACGACTGTAGCCATCGAACAGATAGCGCGGTGGAGTGAGTAATCTTTATTATATATCGCATTACATTGGCGTTTTGGTTTTTATTTGCAGAATATGATTCGCTGAAAATACCTCTTGAAATGATCGTGGTGTCTGTGCTGCAGTCCAAAGCCTCGGCAGTACATAATTTATAGAAGTTGTTTTATTCTTCTGTAAATCGATAAAATTGAAGCCACTTCTGACTTTTAGCGCTGTTCTGTCTTAAAAACGGCCGTGTGGGTTCTCTGAACCTTGGAGAAAGTGTCAAGAATCTGCTGAATTAACAAATACTAGTGCAACAAAGTGTTAAAATGCTCAAGAGTATTGCAGTCATCGCGGATACATCTGGGCAGAACCCTGTAAATAAAATATCGGCTATTGTTGCAACATTAGCATGCATGCACGTTGGAACCTACGCCATCTCATTTTCGCGGAAGGGGAGTGGTGCGGCCGTATATAAAACAAGTTTGATTTTTGTAGAATTGCTTTCCTGTAGAATTGGAGAAGTGAATTTTGTGATCCTGTCTCATTCTGAAACGACAAACATGATGGTAATTATGTATATTAAAGGAACAAAGCAGAAATTGTGAAAGGCAAAATGAGCCTTTATTACATGTGGCTGATGAAGAGCAATGTGGAAAACACAATAGTGCAACTGCAAAGTGTCCATCAATCAATCATAAGGAGCTGACAGACTGTCAAGATAAAGTTCTATCTCGTAGGACATGAAATAAATTTGATTGAGGTAGTAGACACCACAGCGTGTCTAATCCAGTGCAGCTGCACGCATTCACTGCAGATTTTGTCCTTTGTATACAGTCGGGCAAAATCTGCAATGCATCGCTAATACGGCACGTTTTAGGAGACCCTTCCTCTGTGTTCTGTTTGAAGCCTGGCCCCTATACAAAATAGGCGAGAAAGACTATTAGAAAAACGTAATAGCTAGGATATTAAAGCCACATTTTTTTTACTTCTCGTGGCGCACACATTCATTAATATTTCTTGCGTTAAAGAACAGACATGGTTGTGTTATTGAGCACTGATTGTTTTGACACATGTTTGGCTCAGGCACTTGGGCAGCTGACCAGGCATGTGGTTATGTGATTTCATTATCTAATAGCACGAATCAGTGGCGTAGCCAGCAATATCTCTTCGGGGGGAGGGGTTCAACCATAAAAAACAACCTTATATTGCATGTGCTGTATTTCTATACCATGCTTGCAATTTTATACAACACTCCATACATTCTTGCCTACATGCTCGTTTCACAGAGCACAAACCTCTGCTTCATTCCCTAAAGCTGAGTTTGGTTGTTCATTTGTATTGTGAGCTGCATAGACACTCTATATCGAAGTTATATTTCACGCGTAGTAGCAACATCATACTCCTTAGGCCCAATCGCATTGTGTTTTGTTTTTCTTGAACTGTCTCCAATAGTGATCTGAGCTAAGCAGGAGAAAAATTAAAAAAAAAGAAGACAACCGGACTTACCTTCTCTTTTCTACAGACGATCATCTGACGAAGGTATGCTGCACCGCAACTTTGTGCGCGGCAATGGTGACGTTAGACGGCCCGATTCTCGAGGCGGGTATTTTGAAGTGCGCTAAATGGACATGGACCACTAAAACATGTTATAATTTCAAAATAAGCACTTCTGTGGCACAAAAGTAACACTACGAGGTTTTGGACCGCTATTTCAACAATCAAAGTCGACTTCATATTTGCCTTTAGTGTCCCTTCAAAGCACAGCTCTTATGAGAGCTACGCTTTAAAAATGGATATCAAATAGGAGCAGTGTGAGACTGTACGCCACATTTCTTGTTTTTTAAATACGAATCATTTTTGCGAACTTCGGCGACTTTGAGCGTATCTATCTATCTATCTATCTATCTATCTATCTATCTATCTATCTATCTATCTATCTATCCGCCTACAACTTTTAGCTCTCCTGGCCATCTCGACAATAGTATCGATACCAAAATTGCTATGGCATAACATGACAGTATCAGGAGCATAATTGACTAGTAGATAAAAATCATGATATGTATGTTATAATTGTCATGACTTACATTTCATGGTCTTGCTGCTGTTGTGGTGGTTTCGTTCACATGACATTTTGCAGAACTAGCATGATGTGACATGACTGCATAAAGAACACAAGCGACAGACCCCTACATGAAAATCATGACATGCATGTCATGGTTTTAATGTTATGACTAGTGAGGACCACACGCCATGCTCAAGGAGCGCTCGCGGTCATTTCACTAACTTCACGTATGCAAAATTTAGTATTGCGTGACGTGAATGGACGACGAAGATAAATGACTCGTCACCATAGCTCCACATACACAAAATTTGATATTAGTTGACGTTAACAGACGACGATTGCAAATGACGCACCCAAACATGATAATCATGGCATGGAAGCCATGTACGGCATAATGTACGTCCACCTCGCAACGTTGTGCTCATTTTAAAGTGACCTATCAGCCTTCCTCATTTGTCCTTCGCATATAATTGATCCCCGCAGTACCTGGGATCTGCCAATTTTTAAGCAGGAGCTTCGAAACTCTTAATGTGATAAGTTCATTTTTTATGCAAAAAAGTTTTCACGCAGCTACAAATGTTACTTTTGTGAGGTCCCATCAAAACTTCTTTTTCACACTCCCCGCTAAAACTGCTTCTGGCTCAGAATTTGCTTTGTTACGGTCCAATTTGTTTGACGAGGGTAATTTATTTTTTGCGACATCAAGATTGCAGTGCTTGTCCTGGGAGCTTGGACAGCAAAATATATCTATTCCAGCGATCTTAAAGGGAGTGTGCTGACTTGCACCTGCAGTTTTAACAAAACATAGCTTCTGCATTGTTTAATTTTTCCTGATTAGAGTGCTGATAGTTTCTCTTGAGCTGACGAGAAAACTTTTCCTTCCCTTTTCCTTTCCTTTCTCCCATTTTTTTGTTGTTTTGTTTGACATGTAAATGATAGCATAATATTTGTGCAAGTAGACCCACCAATGTGCCATTTTTGATCTTGGTGTTTCAAGGTTTAACCAAAGTTACGTCCTAAATACGGCTTATCTATGCACAACCATCTAGCGTCGATCGAAAAATCTTTAGACAGACGAAAACTAAGCCCCTCGACTTGCAGAATTTGAGCCCATTATCACCCTGTCGGGTGCCGTACAAACATCGACAGCGCCATCTTATGTATTTACTAAAGCATTCAGAACCTGAAACATCTTAACGGGCAAAAACAGTGATACTACCGGAACAAACAGTGGATGAAGTAAAGCAAGAGTGAATGACGTAGTTCAGTGAGCAAGCTTGTGGTAAACATTTACTGTGCTTGCGTGGACGAAATTTAACGGGATAAAAAACAGCTTGAACACAGATTGGTTTTCTCTTTTTTTGTTTTATTTTTAAAAATGAAACGAGCACAGCTTTTCGTAGGTAAGCTGCCGGGAAGTTTTTTTTTTTTTCAGCTCAGCTGACTGTTGGGATTTCCACCAGTCGTTTGTGTGCCTGGTGCGAATTTTCGTAGAAGAAACGGTTCATAAAAATTGGTGTTGAGGCGGAAATGTTGTAGGCCCGTGTGCTCAGATTTGGGTGCACGTTAAAGAACCCCAGGTGGTCGAAATTTGCGGAGCCCGCCTCTACGGCGCCTCTCATAATCATATGGTGGTTTTGGTACGTTAAACCCCACATATCAATCAATCGAAATTGGTGAAGTTTATTCAATTTTGCTGGTGATGTTTTAGTTTCCTGTTATACCACTTTCTTACGGTTGACTGCGTTAACTTTTCATTGGACTTGTACTGTGATCCTAATAGTTTTGATATAGGGCATAGGCTTCTGTGTAAGCCAGCCAAATTGACAATATAGGGAGGGGGGTGAGAGGGAGGTGCCATGTCAGCCCGATGCATTGACATGACAGAGAGTGGGGTGCTGCTATGAATCTTCGCCCCCTCCTCCTGAAAAGGAACCCTGCACACGCTTATGCCTAAGCCTCCTTGCACAGTGGCTGGCTTCCGTTAAACCATGTCTTCAACGATCTCGTCAACTAACTAATGAACCAGGCCAGCTACTCTATCAGCGTTCACCAGCAACAAGCCTACGACCTAGACCGACCCAACTACCACAGACCCAACCAGCAACGCAAAATCGCACAGGGTCCTTGTGGTGCGCTCTGGCCGGCAGTAGCCGAAAACCACCCATTTCCTCTCTTCTACAGTGGCACACGAAAAAGCACACACCTCTTCAATCACGATGCGTTCTGACAAAGTAAATTGAGGATGTAAAATTAAAATGAAGCGAATTGCACATGTTGATCCCGATATAAGAACTTACATTGCGATCGAATAAAGAATGGGGAATCACATGTTCGAGTGTCCATAGGTAATCTGTGTTTCAGCAGCCAGTAGATGTCCGGGCCGTCGGTCGGTCGGTCGGTCGGTCGGTCGGTCGGTCGGTCGGTCGGTCGGTCGGTCGGTCGGTCGGTCGGTCGGTCGGTCGGTCGGTCGGTCGGTCGGTCGGTCGGTCGGTCGGTCGGTCGGTCGGGTCGGTCGGTCGGTCGGTCGGTCGGTCGGTCGGTCGGTCGGTCGGTCGGTCGGTCGGTCGGTCGGTCGGTCGGTCGGTCGGTCGCGGTCGGTCGGTCGTCGTCGTCGGTCGTCGGTAGGTCGGTGGTCGGTCGGTCGGTGGTCGTCGTCGTCGGTCGGTCTGTCGTTCGGGCGTGGTCGTACGGTCGGTCGGTCGTGGTCGGTCGTCGGGTCGTCGTCGTCGGTCGGGTCTGTCGGTCCGGTCTGTCGTCGGTCGGTCGGTCCGGGGTCGTTGCGGGTGTTCGGTCGGTGGTCGGTCGGTTCGCGGTCCGTTCGAGTCGTCGCCTTCGGTCGGTCGTTCGTCTCGGTCGGTGTTCGTCTCGGGTCGGTCTGTCGGTCGGTTCGTCGGTCGGTCGGGTCGGTCGGTCGTCCGTCGTCGGTCGTCGGTCGTTCGTCGGTCGGTCGGTCGTTCGGTGGTCGGTCGGTGGCCGTTCGGGTCGGTCGTTCGGTCGGCGTCGGCGTCGGTCGGTCGGTCGGTCGTTCGTCGGTCGGTCGGTGTCGGAAGAGGAGTGGCTCAACCCACCACGGGAGATTGGCCATGAGTCGCGCGGCGGTGGTATTTCGGGGGAAAGAAAAAAAGGGTATGCCTAAATCTTTTTATATGAATGAACAACTTAGTTGTGCCAACAGCCAGTTATGAATAAAGAAAATAAAGCAAATAAAAAACAAAAATAATGAAACACACATGGTCAGGGAAAGGTCAATCCGAAATTTAAACTTGACATTTCGTTTTCTTTGTGTAATGTTGCTGCCAACGTCACTGTTCAATATAAATAATGGCGCATTATTTACCTCCCATGCACAAAAAAGTTTTCTCTCTTTTTTTTCGTTCAAGGTATAAATGATATTTCTACAAGCACCTCTTTCATTTGTTATGTTTCTGAGCAACAATTCAGTGTACAGAGCAGTATATGAAGAAATGCACATCACTTTTTCTTCATGAATTCAGTGACGAAAAAAACGTTCCCCGCTGCGCGGGTGCGATCGGCGGCACGCCCGCCCACTTCCGCGAGAAAGAAGAAGTGTCTCGAGGAGTAAGAAGCATCAGGCTGCTATGCAAGCAAGAGGTTCCTGGCCTCCGCCATTCGCACATTTGCGTAACTATCTATGGAACAAAAGCGACAGTGACGCCAGGGAGAAGTGCCAGCGCGCGAGAGAGTCCGAGCTGCGGTCGAAGGAGACCGAGTTGCACCGTCGCCAAAGCTCAGGACGGTGCCCGGGTGTGCGTTCCCTTTGGCGACGGCGTGTTCCAAGTGAGGCTGCTTCTGGTCACAGCGATCGCAGCCAGCATCGCGCTCACCCAGGCAAGCCTCTTCAGGAACTCGTTGCGAGAATTGGACCACTGGTGCGCGAGACCACCCAAATTCTCCAACATGAGCTGCCGCCGCGTGGAAAGCGCGGGCCATTCCGCGGGACGTCGCTGGGAACTTCAGTCGCTGCACGGTGCGGGAACCACCCGACGGAGGCGTGTCGGCTCGAATAGTGCCGTGTACTGCCTGGGAGTTCAACCTGAGCGACCACGGCAACACCGTCGTCAGCGAGTGGAACCTGGTGTGCCGGCGTGGCTGGCTGAGCGACGTCGCGCACGTGGTCGTCTTCTCCACGAACATCCTCGTGCTACCACTGCTGGGCGTGGCGGCGGATCGAGCTGGGCGCAAGACCGTCGCCTTCGTCTCCAACACGGGCCTTCTGCTCACGCTCGTGGGGAGCAGCATGGCGAGCGACTTTCACACGTTCGTGATGACGCAAGCTGCGGTCTCGGTATTGTCGAGGAGCATGGCGGTGCTGTACGTACTTCTGTACGAGGTCACGACGGCATCCCGCAGGTTACTCTACTGCTTCATCGCACCGGTGCTCCCGAGCGTCTTTGTACCACTGTTGCTGTTCTTGCGTGGACATGTTCAAGCTCGACTGGTCTCGGTCGCAGCTCGTGGTCGCCACGCTTTCCCTGCTGCTTCTGACCACCTTCTACGTGGTCGAAGAGTCGCCCACCTGGCTCTTGGCCACACACAATGTCGAGGCAGCCGAGAAGGTAGTCCGCAGAGCAGGTAGTGTCAATTGCGTGTCACAGGTTGAGTGTCGCAGGCAGTTCCGCAGCGAAGTGGAGAGCTACCGACGAGAACAAGCTGACCTGCCCTCCGATAACACCATGGGGATCTTGCGTTCGGAATGGCTGCGAGAACGCTCGCTTATCCTCGCCTTCAGTCTGGCTCGTTATTAGCTGGGCCTACAGCCACCACGTAGAAGAACGAGGCACGACCAGTGACTCCTACGTGCGTAGTAGCCACCCTACTCTGCTTGGGTCCCATGTTCGTCATCGTCTGGCCAGTCCTGGAGCATGACCAGGGAGTCAAGCGAGCCATCGCCATCTCCACCCTGGTGTTCGCCGCTTCGTCTGCTGTCGCCTTCGCCACGCCTACGGAGGGATTGTCACCATGGCAAACCATCTTACCCGTTTCGATGCGACTCTCGCTGACCCTTCCCGTCGCGTTCTTGTTTTTTCTCACCATAAGCCTGTACCCGGCTATTCTGCGGTGCGAGGCTGCCCTCCTTTGCTACACCTGCGCCATCGTGGGTGACAACGCTGGGTACGTGGCCTTCACGCGCCTCTTGGGACGACGGCAGGACGTGACACTCGCAGTCCAGTCCGTACTTACTGCACTCGCAGCTGTGGCCGTTGCACACTTACCTCCGGATGATCGACACGATCTTTCTTCTCGCCGGCGTTCGTTCGGGGCGCTGTGTAGAAGGCCGAGCATCACCAGCACGAAACATATAAGCGCAGGTGCTGTGTGTGAACGCAGAACGCTGCCGGATCAAATGCCTGAGCAGTTCTCAATTCGTTCTGGCATGTTGTACGGCGGCCGCTATAAATAGCTAGGGCGAAGGCCGCAACTACATCCTCTGGACCTATGTTTTGCTGCTCTTTATACCATACACCATATGTATCAATGAAATGTTTGTGTACTCACAGCGTATACAATGTATTACCCTGCGTATTATGGAACACAATTGGGTGCTTCTTTAAATCTTATTCACGCCATCAAGACGGCATTCTCAGCATCTGCAGATAAGAGCTGCTTTCATTGTCTCATTTGTTAATGGGTTTTTCCTGACGCGTCTTGTAATAGGGAACGGCCTCTTGTAATCCGGAACGATATAGTCAGGTTTAGCGCATTTAGAGAGGGGACGTGAAAGGTGGTAGAGGAAGAGATGATAGAACTAAAAAATAAGGCGCATGGCAAGAGAGAGAGAGAGTTACCCGCACAGCCGTTAGTACGAAAAACAAAGCGCACGTCTATAAGGTGGAGATTTTCGCACGAACCGCACACTTGAGAAAGGCTGTCAGGGCTGGTATCCTGGACTGTGCCGGAAAGGGGAAGTCCTCCGCATCGTTCGCTAGAAGAGCAAGCAGGTGATAGCATGAAGTGCCGTTGATTGGACGTATTTGACACTCGCCTCTTCCTACTGAAAGCTTCTGCTTCTATTTTTTTAACGCGAAAGTGTCCAATGCCGGGGTCCACCAAGACTTCAGTGACCTATTTCTGTCAAAGATATGACTTTGTAAAATTAACGCTACCTATTTAGAAAGAAAACATTTAAGAAACGTTCCCTCGCTGGGAATTCAGCCTCTGATTCCTTGGAAAACAACCGAAAGCGCCAGGTGCTCTATGAACTGAGCTATTCAAAAAGTTGCTGGGTTGCGTACAAACGCGGTTTATCATATTCACACATCCTTTCTCCCTCCCTGGGCTTTCTCTGTTGGCGAAGCGGTGGTGCCACCATCTGTTTGTGCTCATGAGAAGTAATGCGGCATGACGCAGTTAAATTGTGGCGTCTAAGACTGTGGGCCGGTGGGCAGTATTGGAGGCCTTGGCTAAAGCTTCTCGATAGCAAGGAAAAACACTGACCTGAGCCAGCAACGGAGAGTCGCCGACGCGGTTATGTTCTTAGCCGTTCGCTTCGTGTAAGCACGTGACAGCTCGTTAAAGTCGTGGAGCTACACGTCATCAACGATGTTTTACCGCCGGCTACTTCTAGTACGATAGCACCAGCTTCTTTGATAAAACTGCTGCAGTAAGCACTGCAGTAAGGCAACGATGTCTATGGGTGAATGTCCCGCTTTGGTGGAGTGAAACTGAGGGCAACATGGCGTGGAACACCGGCGCACTTTCGCGGCTCAAGCTACGAAACTCTCTGTCCCACGTCGCGGAAGCGAAGTATATGTGAGCGCTGGCGTAGTTTTTAGGAGCTCGCACCATGCTGCTCTTCTCTATAACTCATGATCTTTGAAGCTGCGCATATCGAGTAGCAGTGTTAAGTGTGGGCTTGTTGATGTCATTGTGTGTGACTGACGATACGCTGTGTTCAAGTTTGTGTTAATAACTTCAGTTGTCACAACGGTTAAATGAGTATCACAGGTGGTAGTCGTAGTGATAGACAAGTGTCGCTAGGCGTTAACATGGCTGTGTCCACGCCAAACAGAGCTATAGCTTCGAAACACCTATAGAAATTGTAGTTGTCACATATCACTACACAATAAGTACTACTTCTACGAAAACACGTTTGGACTTTCGTGTTATACCGATTCCCATGATGGAGGGATCGGCCATGATTTTTTTGTATACGATTGAGGCTCGTAATTGCATGTTGGACGCCACATTTCATTCAACAAAAGAAACCAAGTTTTTTAACGGATGAAGACAGACATCACGCATTCACATTCTCCCATCCATCTTCCATTAAGTCATACTAGTACTATGCCCCTCTTTTTTGTTAGTTCCACTTGTCAGATACTACATAGCCGTATCTCCGCTCTGCTTCTTTCTCATGATCTCCAAGTGTCGGTTCAAATATGGCAATATCGCTATGGTGCATCAAGCTTTTCAAGCCGTTGTTCACGTTTGTTTATTTTGAATGACTACTAGGAGTGTGCTTAAGTGAGCAACATGAAATACACGCTCTAAATGCTTGCTTGTCATGCTACGAAAGAACACTGAAATGTTGGTTGGTTCCCCAACAGCTTGGCACAACCCACTTAGGGGGATAGGCCATGAATCGGACGTTGCCTTGCTTGATAAACTAATTCACTTCTTGAAAGAAAGTGTTGAATTCATTAGGCATTACAGCGAATAATTTAAAACTTGTAGTATATAAAAACATATAACTTTGAAAATAATGACATAATAAGCACGCAAAGAAAACAGCTGTAACTAAAACAGCTGAATTTAACTAGGTTTAGCATTCCCTCCTCTTAGGCTTTGCAATGTGGTACTGATACAACTGTCTCCTTCCTTCTTTTTCTTAATATGGCTGTTATATTTTCTCTCCCTCTCTCTGATACCGTTTAGCGGCCGCTTGTTTGGACTTATTAATGTGTTTGTCTCTAAACGGACATGCCCCGACAAAAATATAGGGGATCCTTCAGTTGCTGTGAAACGCGATAGCGATAGCTTTTTTCTAGTGCGTACTTCAAACACTAACCTCCGTATTCTCAAACGCTCCTCTACTCTACTTCCACCCTTCACTTGACAGAGTGTAGCACTGCGCCACCACTCGGCTGAAAATGACGCTGCGCTACTCGAAAATTGCAGCAGATTATCGCTGATATGCAGTGGCATGCCGTGCCTAGAGACTGCGCTCCCATCGGCTTTCTCAAGTGAAGGTGAAGCATTGAGTGAAGGGACGTTCTAGAATATGGGGGTTAGTCTATGAAATCTTTTCGAACTTGCTATGCAAGTTCGTGAAGGTAAGGGTGCAGTAGCATGTGTGTCTTGTATAGTGGGTGACTGGCTTTATGCTAGTAAGTCATAATGATTCCATGTTCTGACACCCGGTGGCCCTGTACGCTTGTCCCACACATTATTACGGGAGTATTTCATGTCGCATTGTTAAACATGTGCACGGGAGGCATGTGTTCGCAAGGCGTGAAGGTTTCTTTCACTGCATTTTGAAGCGGAGGAAGTCATTTTCACTCTATTCCCAAGCATTGTCATTATTCATGTACCTGTAGTGTCTGAGAACAAGCAATAAAGCAAAAAAAAAGGCGTAGCTGTGTGGTAGAACACCCACTCTCCACGAAAAGAACACATGCTAGATTCCCACTCACCACAGGTCTTCTCTATTTATTTGCATATTTATCAATTTTTTTTGGTTATGCAAAGATGACCTATTTTTCGGTGAGCAAAGATGATGATTTTTCGCTCACAACCAACGGAGCTGACAACAACGCCGGCACCAGAATTTCTTCGAAACAAGCTCTTTACCGCTATTGGGTTAAAGATTGAGGCACCCAAGCAAAATTGTGAAGCTCTTTTCTCTCTATTTTTTTTTCAGACGCAGAGTTCGGGCTTCCAATCGTCAACCGCTTTCCCCACGACTTCTCATACAGCATATCAGCGGTCACCACAAAGCAGCAGAGCCTTGGAAAAGTAAGCCTTCTGCGGCAATCTTTACTCTGGGAAAGCCCTGGGGGGTGAGTGCTTGTTTATCTCCCGTTGTCTCAACTGAAAGCGCGTGCCTCTGCTGGAGCTTAACGCAAAGCCCGGGAAGGCCGCTCAATTTTCCCGTGGTGCGGTCGGCCTCAATGAAAGCGGTGCGCGGTTATCGAAGATTTTATCCGTGAAGTGCAAGGAGTGAATTGCCAAAGACGGCACATTCCCCGCAACATTCTATATAATGAAATTCGCCTAAACACCGCATTCATCTGTGCACGCTCTGCACTTTTTAAAAAGAAGTATAAAAAAAAGGTCTATAAGTGATACTCTGGCTACCTGAATGTCAGCTTCACTGCGCGCCGCTCACATTTTACTATCGTAATAAATAAATATAATAGGTGTAGTATACCTTGTCATTACTTCTCAACGAATTATTGTTTGAATGGCTATTACATGTATGACGCTTTTGAAAACGTCACTCCCCTACTGGCTATAGCATGTTATACCATGTTTGCAATATTTTAGAATTTTTTTATTATAATATAAAGACAGTCTTGCTTTACTGCAAAGCACGGGCATCTTTAAAAGCAGCAGGGTATAAAAATATAAGTTAAAAGTTCGTCCACCTTATCTGCATGTTACACTGCAAATGTCATCGAAATTCCATGGTGTTGCGTCTAAATAGAGGGAACAAAACGTTTATGTTCTGCGCAAAAAAAAATTGGTTAATGATATTCAGGAGGCGCTGCGTTAGAGTGCCTCGAGCGTGCAGCGGAGGCGAACG